GTTGATTGTCCACAAATTTTTGACCCTGTTTCCGGAAACCTGACGGAATCCCACGGAAAACAAGTTATTCAAAACAGCTGCCGCTGTTTCATGACTGATAGCTTTCCCAGAAGCAGGTGTTAAACGAGATAGAAGCGATTCATTGACGAAGACAGACAACAGTTGAAATCTGCAGTAAATAACGAAGACAAAATGTATGACGCCGATAAATCTTCGCCTGAGAGTGCGCCATGCTTTTCCCTTCCACTGGGAATGATGGAGGTACTTGGAGGGATTGGGTACCTCTGCATTCACCACAAAATCTCCACACCTCCAATCCAGGATGGAACTTTTGTGGAAGGAGCGGGTTTTGAAACAGGTCATGAAGACCGAGAGGTAGGACCATTGGAAGATAGGAATAAAATAAGTGGAAAGCTTGGTTGGCTTAAGCGGATACCGATCCGGGATTTGAACCCGTGACCATGTCTTTGTGGTAATGCGCCCTTTGCCACCACACCATCTCTGCCCGAATAAAAATAAAAAGAATAAATTTTTCAAGAGTTGTGCTTAATTTCATTCGGCTGGCTATACTTATACGAATCTCCCTGCCTCTTATAAATGGCAAAATCCGATCTCATAGACACTTCAGCAGACCTTTCTACCACTGAGCTATCCCTGCCTTTGGCCTGAATTTCAAGTAGAAATCACCAACCTTGAATATACGAGTTCGGTTCTTCCGTAGTAGCATTTACAACGAATACAATTCGTTTTTGTTTAATTTTTTCCGGTTTCAAACAGCCGGCACCGGACAGAAACAGATGGTCCGTGATCTCGGAAATTTGGCCAAATACGCCGACCCGAGACATTCTGAAACAGATGGCAGAATGAACGATCAATGCGATTCACTGAATAAATCAATCAAAAGACGACGATGACCCAAGCGAAACGGACGGAAGCATTCAAAAGTGAAAACAATTCGGGATCAAATTTCTGAAACAAACAGGGATACGGTAGAATGATGTCCAGAACTCTGTACAGTAAAACGTAATCACTGAATTTTGCTGAAAAAAAGTTTGTTATGGCTTAGAACTATTCATGACGTAGAAGAGATACATCGACAGAACAACAAATATGTTACATCGCGAATTTTTCGTTTCCGACACCCCGCCCATATGATTGGCAAGCATAGATAAGAAGTTGAAGAGCATAGACATATAGTGCATTGAATTGATGACATACGGCTTTCTGGTATTCAAGTCTTCTTCGAATTGAAACAGGGAAAAGGCAATCGAAAAACCGTAATAAATGAAATAAAAAAACGAACAATTTCGAAAACAAGGGGAGGATCTGTTAATAGAAGGAGTAGAATGAAACTCAATCTACATATAAGTCCAGGAGCAGGGGAGACGGGCGTTAGGAACGATTTTGGGTAATCGATTTGCCGCACGCGGCTGTCGCGGACCACTCATTCGCCGTTATTACAGCTCTAGCGTTCTTCATACAGCTCAATCGATCTGCGATCATTATTTTATGCATATTCTACTATTAGTACTTTTGTTCTTGTATTTCTTACCTACTGCTGCATCCTGCTACATCCCTTCGCGCACGACGCCCCTCTCACCGCGACGCGACCATTTCGTTCCTAACGCACCACACCCCCAGAAGCAGACATAAAGGATAATGGAAGAAGTTTTTGACTCAAATTAGACCGCTTTTGAAATGCCACATGGCTATACGGTAATTATTCTGGTAATGATCCAGTAAAACGATAGAGTATGAAAGGGAACCAAATTTCTAACGGTGATCAACCCGGTCTTTGGGATGAGCCCCCCATTCGACTTCGCGATACAGAATCGCTTTGAATGCCTACACAGTGACTTGCGGTGGCCAGCTGATGTACAAGTCAGTGCTTTTGTCCTCCCAGACGAGTCTGGAACCAATTAGCCGACTCCGAAGGGATGAAAGGCTTTGTTGGCAAAGGTGGATATCCATCGGCGATTCAAACCCGTGACCATGTATGTGTACGATAGTGCACAACTTGCCACTACACCACCTTCGCCCTACGAGCAGACATATTTGGAGAAAACAACTCCAATCAATGATAATTTTTCTAATAAAACCACATATAAATGTTTACAGCTGTGGATTAATAAACTATTCAAAATTTTACAGAAAAAAANAAAAAAATGTAAAGTAATAATTATAGGTTTCTTGCTCATTTATTTGCATCCCATATGAACCAGATATAAATTTGTGACTAATTTCGAAAAACAAAGGTAAGAAAATATTGTAAACAAGCAAACAAGATCGGGAAGCCGTCAAAAGTTCACAAAAAACGAACAGATCGAACAGATCGACTCAAACACGGGACATCGCAGTGAAAGATTTTCCTTGCTTCAGTTCGTTTGTACCGTATCCATCACCCATTCGGAAACTTATACGATAATTAAAAAAGACAACGGAAAAACAAAGGGATATACATGAAAAATCGATGAATCGATTAGGTTTATATGAGACAGAATTGGTTTAAATAGCTTGCCTCCACATAAATTTACATGATTTCAATGCGATTTGAGCTTCAAAAAAACCCAAAACACCAATCGATATTGAAAATGAGCATATTAACTGAATTTTTGGAAACGAATTCGTCGACTTATTGTCGTCTTCGCCGCGATTCACCGTGCACAAATGCTATAGAGAAACTTCGCCTCCATGATATTCAACCATCAACTAGTTCCCTATTCCCACCTTCTGTCGCAGTCTCGACGCCCCGAGAAGCAACGAAATTCCGGTCATGCCTTCACGCTAGGCAATAACTGATTCAGAATTTAATTAGAAGAGAATTCCAGCAGAAAAAGTTTTCGAATTTATAAATAGCCCTATGTATTGCCCGTGTCTTCAACACCCAATCGACGACGACGACGACGACGACGATGACAGGTCTACGAGCTGGAAAACACGATTGTTTTCGTATCCTGGGATTAAAAGCCTGGCTGTGAAATGGCGCAAAGACGTCGACGACAAACGACGACGATGGATGGATGGGGGAGCAATGATCCATAGAAGTTGAGGCGATTCTGAAGAATAGAGCGAGATTGCCGATGGAACACAAAAACGGCTCGAAAGACAGCTGGCCGGTTGTATTTCCAAGTACAACAACCAGGAAAAACGTGACACAAGTTTGCCCTGAGCTTCAAGAGCAGCTTGCAAAGCCGTTCATTTCTTTTCCAGGAACCATGAACACTTCCAGATGAACCATGCTTTCTTGTATATCCACTTGTAGCTTACGAAAAGGGAAGATAGGGGGAGCAATGGCTTCTTGGAGCTTCAGAGTGACGTTAGATCCATATCAGAGATCCCTCTACCTTTGGCCGGAAAAAGTTTGCTAGCGAGAAGATTCCTCTTGCAATTTCACTAAATTCAAGCCATTAAAAATGATGATTAATATCAAATAATAACAAAATGTGATGGCGACATAAAAATGACCTTTCGGCAAAAAGCCAAAACGATTAGAGTTATTGGAGTGCTGCAGAAATGCTATTCAAGAGAGTGGTTTCTTCAGTCTGCGGATTTCCCCCATTCATTTCCATACGGGGAAACCGCTAGTAAGACGTAGAACATTCGAAGTCTAACAAGATTGTTAAGGATGAGTGGGTGAGCTAGGAGGCGTGAGTGTCAGCAGAAGGCGGAGCTTCCTACACGCATTGGAAACGAGCTCTTCTTGATGCAATTGCAGGTACAAATGGAGGAAATTTCGAATTACGGCAAGACTGACTTTTCATTTGACTCATGAACATGTGTTCGAGTCAAGTACATACTTGGACATCGCATGACAGAGTTCCTTAGCGCCCACTCCAAAACATTCATTAGAGAATTCGCGTCGAATTTGGTAATGAACTAAACGTCTGAACGTCAAAGATATTACTCATCGGCCAATAGAAAAGTAAAGTATCAGGGCTGATCTAACTGCCACACTGAACCTCATTTCTTATAGAATTCAGAATTATCGCCCACAATACTATGCACGGCCCTCCTGCTCTCTTCACTGGACGACTACGTTGAAAGGTTTTCACCAACTTCCCTCGAAGGCAACGAAAAGGGCCAGAATGATCTGGAAGAATTCAAGTGAGGGAAAACTCTCTAGAATTTTCTAATTTACCGTAATTATTTTTCAAAACGCCTAGCAGTCAAGCCAGACGGTACTTATTCTGACAACGATGCAGTAAAGTGATAGAGAATGAAGAAATATGAAAACCTCCGGAAGTAATAAATCCCGTTTTTGGGATGCGCCCCGCAATCGACCTCACTCAGGATCGTAGTGGCGTATTGAATGCGTATGTAGCCTATACAATGACATGCGGTGGCCAGCCGATGTACAAGTCAGCGCTTTTATCCTTGCAGACGAATCTGGTACCAATTAATCGATCCTGGAGGGATGGAAGGGTTGTTGGCCAAGGCGGATATCGGTATCCAGGTTGCGCCACTTGCCACTGCTCCACTTCGGCCTATATTACAGCTACACTACACTTATTTCAAGGAAGTTTGCTACAAGTTTTCTAAGTTGTACTGTAATTATGTAGTTTGAAAGGATTTACTTGCAAAACATTTCCTTTTATCCTAGAACGATTTACGGGAAAATGTTACTGCATATTACAAGAAAGTTCATCAAAAAAAGCATACAAAAAAGGTCATATCATTATCATGGTTGAAAGAAATCATAAAAAGAAGCCTGGGGCAAAGTGAAAGTGAAAAAGTTACGCGGAAACGATTATGATATTACAAAAGATTACAAAAAACTTCATATCATAATGAACATATAAAAAATTATAGAAAAAACGATTGCTGAGAAACGATGTTACACCAACTTCCAGTCCAAAAGGGTTTGAACCGTAGGGAATATATCTGGAACCAAATAATTCGAGCCCTAGTAGCTTATAGACAGGGAGAAATAAAAGTCAGTCAGTCTTAGATCTGATCTTTAGTCCAGCGCTAAGCCCAAGAATATGCAGGGTTCAAGTCCGCGATGCCGTCTGAAATTCACTGATGGAGGTGGTGTAGTGGCAAGTGGCGCACTATCACACACGCACGGTCGCGGGTTCGAATCTCGGATTGATATCCGCCCAGGCCAACCAAGCCTTCTATCCCTAGGTGGTCGCTTAATTCGTACCAGACCCGTCTGGGAGGATAAAAGCACTGATTTGTACATCGG